CTGCACGAATAGAACGATGGCTAATGGACTTGCAACAGTACAACTTTATAGTTGAATATCAACCAGGCACGTCAAACCCAGCGGACTATGCTTCCAGACGTCCTGTTGATTCTGATTCTACCGATACATCAGAAGAGTATATCTCGTATGTGACAGAAAATGCTGTGCCGAAGGCAATCACACTGCAGGAAGTTGAGATCGCGACTTCCAATGACCCGACACTACAAGCTGTTATGTCTGCAATTAGATCCGGTAAATGGCACAAAGCTCCACCAACAGTATCACTATCTGAATTATCTCGCTATGAACAAGTGAAGGAAGAACTTACCTGAACCGATACCATAGTACTGAAATCAAATCGCATAATAATACCCGCTGCACTGTAAGAGCGAGCAGTAGGCATAGGTCACGAAGCTCATCTCGGCATGGTGAAAACAAAAGGTCTCATGCGTGAGAAAGTATGGTTCCCGTATATGGACAAAATGGTAGAAACCAAGATCAAGTCATGCTTACCCTGCCAGATAGTAACCCCAGTTTACACCAGAGAACCATTACAAATGTCTATCCTACCAGACAATCCATTTGACGAAATTAGCATTGATTTTGCATACGCAGAAGGTGAAACGCTACTTCTACTCATTGACGACTATTCACGATATCCATTTGTAGAGCCAATATCGTCAACTGCTGCACGTTGTGTCATAGCTCAACTACTTATTCGCGATGTTTTGCACTCCTGGAATTCTCAAATCTGATAATGGCCCACCATTCAATGGTGAGGAATTTGAGAAATTTGCTTCGATACTAGGACTGAGACATCGCAAGGTAACCCCACTTTGGCCTAGAGCCAATGGAGAAGTAGAACGATTTGTTAAAACGTTTGAGAAGTCGATCAAAGCATCAAAAACAGAAGAAAAGAATTGGAGAAAAGAAATGCAAATATTTCTACAAAACTACCGCACAACCCCTCATGCTACAACCAGTGTATCACCCGCAACCTTGTTTCTGAAACGCATCATACGCAACAAGCTTCCTCAAATAAATGATATTGATCCAGTATCAGAAATCGTACGTAAATATGATTAACTGCAGAAGCACAAAATCAAGATTCATGCTGACAACAAATCAAATGTGAAACCATGTTATATAGAGACAGGTGATAAGGTATTGGTAAAACGACCATACAACAAAACCAAAGGTTTCACAGTGTATGAGCCTACTCCAATGACAGTAGTGCGGGAAAAAAGGCTCTATGATTACTGCTGAAAAATGATGAACACACGGTCACAAGAAACTCATCATTCTATAAGAAGTTAAATAGATCATTACTTCAAAACAACTCTAACTTTGATGATCATGACCCCTCGCTTACTGATTATGACACCAAGCCCGATCCGGTATATCCTCAACAATCTACAAAGTCTAGCTCCATAAATTCACCTCCATTGCAAATAAATATGCCAAAGACGAGTAATCTTAACAACGGTGAAAACGTAAAAGTGAACAGTCCAAGACAAGAACACAAATTGACTAACAGCGATGATTCTACAAAACCTGCTGCTACACTTCACAGATCGTCAAGAAGGACAGTTCCACGCAAAATACTTGATTTGTAATCTTGTATTTGTAATCGCTTAGTCGATTCATAACATTTAAAGTATATCTCAGGCTTTTGAACTCTTGACATTCATCGTGATTCTTGTTGTTTGTTATTATTCGTAACTCGATAAGATCTATACAATGTTCGATTTATTCGTTTACAAAATGATAGTTCGTATACAACAAATGTTATCAGATCAAAAATTTGTATTGTGAGACTTTTAGTATCCACAAGGAAGGGAAT